TAACGCACAGATATCAGCATCATACGCTCCTATATATTCCGTAACAAGTTTTTACCAATAAACATTTTTCAACCCCCACCATGTATCATTTAGTTAGACCTAAGGTTTAACAAATGGTGGAGGCGCCGGGTACCGATATTTATGTAACATAAGATACGTATTTTTTAGACCTTTAAATGCACTTGATTTCTACAATATCTTAAAAATGGATACTTGCTCAAAATTCCTTGGATGGCATTTCCTGAAAATTGAGATTATAATTCAGAAGACTGTACATTCATATACTCTAAAGAAAAAGTTAAGGTGTTTTGAATAGACACCTGATGGTCCATTTTCAGGAGTGTGAAAGGGTGCAAACCCACCCCCACCACCAATATGAAATTACTTTTGCCCCAAGATGTTTGGTATGATTGCGAGGAGCAGCACAAATTTTAGGGTTTTATTTGTCCTGATATTAGTAGAAAATAAATGAATTTTTGAGTAAAAAGTATAGATGTTCTTTTGATCCTAAACTTACTAGTTTCTTAATTCAAAATAGAGCTAGGATGTATATGTATAGTATTCACCCGTCTACAAGCCGATGATGAATTTCATTGTTTTTAAATAAATATTTAGTCAAATATATATCTATCTTACCATTATTGATCAAATAAAGGTTTTAAGGTTACCGTTGGGAAATAACAAGGGCCCCATGAATCTAACAGAGACCTCATTACTGACTCAAACACAGCTTTGAGGATTTTGTTGTGCTTCTTGTTCAGAATATTCCATACAAACATCCCTGTACGTGTCATAACTCTATCTTTCATTTGCATAAACCCAGCATCTAGTGACCCTGAAATGCGGGCCTAGGATTTGGGTAGCTGCAAAATGTACCTAGCAACCATGTGTTGGATACTGTCTAGATTCTTTAGGACTCCCTTAGAAAGCACCATTGCCTCTGAACAGTATAGTATTGCTGGAATTGCACATCTTTCCCACAGAGCATGTGCTGCTACTGCTCTGTCAAGGCCATTCCTGATTCAAACTGAACTTGATACACTTAAAGAGCAGGGATACTGCACTTTATTGGCAGGGGATTTCAACGCCCATGTGGGTAACGACAGCCAAGGAATACCACGGAACAATAAGGATATCAACTGGAATGGCAAACTAGTTAGAGAATTTATACATACAAACAACCTGTCGATTGTAAATAAAGATGTTAGAAAGAGATATAGGTTGATAATTTTCTGGTAAGTTTTAAGAACCTTTTTTAAATATAGGTGTAACATTTTCCAGCTTCCAATCCAGTGGTAATGACTGGCCTCTTGGTGAACGGTTAAAAACTTACTGGAAATTTCGTCAGGTCCTGAACTAGAGATTACTTTCAGATTTTTAATTTTGGTCTTTACTATTTCCACATCAAAAAATATTTCTTCAACAGTGTATAGATCATTTATGGAGGGACAATCTGGCACAGTTGTAAGGTTCTCGTTAGTAAAAAAGGGTCTTTTATTCCCACTTTTGGCTATTTTCCTCTCAAAATATATTTTTACACTTTTTCTGGGATTGTTTAAATTGATCAAAATGTAGAGGAGATCTAGTATGCATGTACAGGTTATAATGCCTCTGCTTTGTTTTAACCAGTCTTTTAACATTCTTAGTCATCCATTGGTGATTAATTGGTTTACGTCTAGAAACTGAAATGAAATTTTTAGTACCTAAACAATCAAACCACCTCTTATACCATTTAAAGTGTCCGTTTGGTTCAGTCTCAGCTCAGGTTCAATACAATATCCAGGAATATTCAATAAGGCATTAGACACTTCTTCATTACACCAGGTCTCAGTAATTAAAATTACATCAGGTACTTAGTCTTTTGTTAAAATCCATAACTCTTAAATTTTGTTCACAAGGCTTATAGTTTGGATGAGGTTCCTTCAAGTAAAAGTTTGCATCCTGAGTACTGAATCCTATTAACATGTTTTCTCCTCCATCAAACCCAGAGTTCCACCATGAGGTCATCACATAGGATCTTAAATGGTGACCTTTCCCCATGTTCACCGAACATGTTTTTCCCTCCATTCTCCGGTGTCCCAGAAACAAGGTGACCCTCTTCATCAAACACTTGATAGTTCAAAAGATTACCTTCAACACACACTTGATAGTTAGAGAGATTAACTTAAGGTTTATCCTCAAAATTTGACAACTGGATTATTAGTTCTGGATCTGAAAACTGTAAAGTTAGTTCATCGCTGGCCAGGGAATGCTGACTGTATAATGTAATAAAGTCAGGATGAATAATTTGGCTGCAGATCTGACAAATTTTGTCTTCCTATTATCGCCTGAGCTGACCTTCTCCGCCAGTCTTTTTGTAATCTTTGTGAACATTCCCTTGATTGTACCCTTAAAACTTTTTTCTCCTTACTTCACTTCTTTCTCCTTTTCTCCTTTAATCTTAGGATTTAACTTCACCTCAGCTCTTCCTTCCAGCCTTGAGGTGCTTTTTCCACAACCTTCTCTGGATCCCCCTTAACTTAAAATTCCATAAAGACCTGAGACTGAGTTTTCTTAGGTGGAGACAGTATAAAAATCTCCTCATCTTAGATGCTCTGCAGTTCTAAGATGTTTTCATGTTCTGAGTGGTTAATAATAAACATAAATGTAGAGCAAATATTTAAAGAATCCAATAATTTTTTAGTGGTCTGAGGTCGAAACATTTTCTTTGTAAGATTGAGCTAATCTATAAATCTTAACATTGATATCCACCTAGTCAATTTTTAGATTATTTTTAAATCACAGGATTTAATCTAATCCTTAGGACGAAAAATAATTTGGATATCTGCTTGATCCAAGCCCAGATTAACAACACAAAAGCTCTAAACCCTGTTTTAGTTCATTTTTATGTTTAGGTTCAACTTGTGGATAATTTCTATAATAAGAAGAAAGAACTACACTCCCATTGTTACCGGATAACCTACAGGAATAAATCTCAAATAAATAGGGAACCAAATCACTGAATTTCTGCCTCCTGTATAAGTGCCTGTTGATTCATTAAATCACAAATGTATTAACTTTTAACAATTTAGACCAAGTCTATAAATTTAAGCTGAAAATTCTGTTCAAACCTAGGAAGGCGCAAGAAAAATAAACAAAACCTGGCCTTTGTAGCCCATTCCAATTTTGAGTTTTAATAATCAGGCATATGAACAAGGTTCTAACCCAAGCAGAGGTCACCCTCATTCATCAAGAGATTGCAGCCCAAGCGGTCAGCATGTTGGGGGTCACTATACGATAGTCATTAATTATTTACTTTTTCACCAACAGAAAGACTTCATCAGTAAAGAGAAACAAATTCAAAAGCGGACTTAATCCCATGTCCTAATCAAACCCACCAACCCCTCACCTTTGACAGTGATATGTTTGAATTAGTTCAAATCCATTTTCTTTGCCACGACTCCTTCGGAATGATGGTTGAATGCCCCATATCTCTCACATCTTGATTTGTTGATAGGAAAATGTGGGTTAATTGATAGATTGAACATTGCTCCTTACAGATTTACAGAATGAGCGCAAAGTCGAATATAAAGATTGCACTGGGAGCTGTTGTTTGCAACGAATGCGATCTAAGAGGTAAAAATCTATAATATCAGGGCTCAGATATTTAATTTTGATTCGGATCCGTTTTGTAAAATAGGTCTTAACATTGACAATTGTTCACACTGGACCTGTATCGTAATCATTTGCAACAATAATAATCGGATTTATGATTATTTATAACGGAGGCTCAGCCCTGACTTCTACTGACTGATGGTTGACTGCTTGTTTGTTGTTTTGTTCTTGAAAGTTTCTTAAAGTTTTGCTAAATTAAGTTGTTCTTTTTTCGCTATTTTTGGTTGAAACTTGATTTACCATTGATAAGCTACAGGTTTTTATGAGATCTCTTTAGTATACACTCAAAATGTGTTTTTAAGAGCAAAAAATTGTTCTTGCTGTTTTGGTTGATATTTTGCCACTTGTCTAGATCTGGAGATCTGCATATTTTTGCAGACCTTGATCCTCCTGGCTTAAGTATTGTGAATCTAAAGAATTCTGATCCCTAGCGCTTTTGTTTAAGTTACTGATATTATGCATGCAATTCTATGTTTTACTTGTAAATATAAACACAATTGGAAAACTGATCCGTGTATGTATAATGTATATTACAGGAGACATAACCATCGGAGCTAAAACTGTAATACATCCTAAAGCAAGAATAATTGCAGAGGCCGGGCCAATAATAATAGGTAGAAAAATGAAGAAAATTATTACTCAGTTTTTAATTTTACGACAATAGCTTCTCATTGCTGATTTTTAACAGCAATGATTTAAACTTGTTAATTATCTTTAATTAAGGCTTAAAGTGTCGAACACTAACAGTAAGATAATTATATTTATTTTATTTACATCATAGGAGAAAATAATCTGATAGAGGAACAATGTGAGATCATGAATGTTAAAGAAACAAAGGTAAGTTATAAATTTAACTTTCAAGTTTATTTACATTGATTACTATGTTTGAGGAAGGGTGGAGATACGTTTTATAACAAAAGCAAACATTTTTATTTAGATAATATATGAAATAGTTTCTAGCGTTATAATTTTTCATATTTTGGCTTTAAACTTTGGACGGAGGAGGAAAAGGGGCGGGGGCATTTAACAAAAATTCTCCTAATACTAATAACAATCAAGGATGAGGATGAAGATGGATCTGAAAGTGGGAACACATCTGTCATGATTATCGGGAATAATAATGTTTTTGAGGTTAGTTGAACTTTTTACAGAAATCGGAACACGGAAGCAATAATCCATTCTTATTTCGTCCGACGGATTTAGTGAACATTTTTCAGATATTTTTAATGGTCTGACCAATCAGCAGCCACACAAATCTGATGACAGTTAATAAAAGATCTTATGAAAACGAGCCAGCTGTTTGTTAAATTTAAAGTTTTCGCCGTAGAGATCTGGCGTTAAAGATGTCTGCTTATCTTATTCAAAAGTTCCGACCCCGGCTTAATTTAATTGCAATTTTTATTTTATTTAATGGCCAAATAATTAAAAAAAAATTTTTATAAAACCTTGTTGTTTCTTCAGGTTGGCAGTGAAATATTGAGCTTGAGGATTGGTGATAATAATGTGGTTGAGTCAAAGAGTAGTATCGGCAGGTTAACCAATCTATCTAATGGATGCATAGTGGGAGCAGGATGCAGGTCATACATTTAGGCTTTTGTTCACTTATTCTGTTATGATTTTAATCGCTTATTCATTTAGTTTTTCCTTTAATTCGTTTATTAGTTTATTCATTTATTCATTAACTCATTTATTCTGTTATTCGTTTATTCATCGGAAACGTCGTTTTCTCATTTTCTCAAAAATGTAGTCATTTACTCGTTCAATCATTATTTGTATACATCATGGTGTTTATTTATACATTTTTTTACCCTTGTAAAACAGAATTTCATTTCATGTTATTAGCAACAAGCAAATCACACATTCTTCAACTTTAGTTTATTTTTCTGCAACAGAGGATGAGAATTATTCAAGACAAAAGTCTGCAATTACATTGAGATCATTATATTTTTAAAGTTACAGGTCGTCTTTACAGTCTCATCATTGTGGGTTATTTTATCACATTTCTATCTTGAGAGCATTTTTCATCCATTTTGTTTTGTTATGAATCGTGATATTATTTAGGCTTACTACCGAGGAAACCTTGGAGGAAAATATAGTTGTTTACGGTGGCGATTGCAGGAACCATTTTCTAGTATCATGCACACTCCCTTTACATTAACTCAATTATTTGTAGAATTATTTCCTAATTTCTTTTACTTTCACTCCATTATTTTTATATTTAGTTTATAGTTTCAGGCACATATCTTTTATTTTCACTCCATTATTTTTATATTTAGTTTCTAGTTTCAAGAACATATCTTTTCCTTACACTCCATTATTTTTTTATTTAGTTTCTAGTTTCAAGAACATATCTTTTACTTACACTCCATTATTTTTATATTTAGTCAAGAGTTTCAGGAACATATCGTTACTTACACTCCATTATTTTTATATTTAGTTTCTAATTTCAGGAACATAACTTTTACTTACACTCCATTATTTTTATATTTAGTTTCTGCTTTCAGGAACATATCTTTGACTTGCACTCCATTATTTTATATTTAGTTTCTACTTTCAGAAGCATATCTTTTACTTACACTCCATTATTTTTATATTTAGTCAAGAGTTTCAGGAACAAATCGTTACTTACACTCCATTATTTTTATATTTAGATTCTAGTTTCAGGAACATAACTTTTACTTACACTCCATTATTTTTATATTTAGTTTCTGGTTTCAGGCACATCTTTTTCTTACACTCTATTATTTTTATATTTAGTTTCTAGTTTCAGAAACATATCTTTTCCTTACACTCCATTATTTTTATATTTAGTTTCTAGTTTCAGGAACATATCGTTACTTACACTCCATTATTTTTATATTTAGTTTCTTGTTTCTAGTTTAGTTACATTATATCCTCAATCATGAGCGTTAACACATCTTATGTTAAGTAAAAGAATATTTGAAGGGAGTCCGGTTATGAAATATGCAAATAACCATGTATAAAACAAATATCAGGAATCCCCCCCGCCATCTGTTGGTGTGTTATTTAACTAGAATATGGTTGTATAGAAGAAGAAAGGCGGGAGATAAACCTGTTTCACAAATCCTCCAAATAGATTTCTTATCCAAGGTTCTACCTAACTATCATCATCTCAAGAAACCAGCAAAGAAGGCTTAGTTCAACAGCTGTTCATTTAACCAACTCTAAACTTGTTGTGCATGAACGTTGAACAATGTACAATTTACATTCTACAATGTGGCACACTGTATAACAAAAGATATCAACCAAACACAGTTCTGTGATCACGATTTTAATACTTTTTCATTAGTATTTACTATTTATTTTAAATGTTTTTGAAGCTTTGGAGGAGAAAATGAAAGATTAGACGCCAAATTGTTCTACCTTTCCGCTACCGAAAAAATTCATTAATCCCTTCAGATAATTAATCATAGATTTTTCGTCAATAGACCTAATTTAACAATTAAACAATTTAAATTCCGTTCATCCAGAGGAAACATTTCATTTATGATGAGGGTGTTACTTGTCGCAGTAAAATAACATGATTTATTTTTACAAACTTTTCCTCTTCCTAGGCTGTCAGCTGTTAATTCAATCGTTGATTTTTAATTATTACCTTTATTCCAATCCCATTAACTTCTTTCTTCTCAAACTCTCTATAAAAATGTAATGCATTTATTTAACAAATGTTGCTACCACCTTTACATTATTACAGACTGCTATTATAAACTGTACAGAATGACCAGCGCGGCAAAGGTTGGAGAAATATTTACATCCGCAGGGGAAGCTTTTGAGAAGCTTGGTGAGCTTACCATGCAGCTTCAAGCAGCTCAACAGAACACAGGGGGAGCATCAGCAAAGGTAGCAGTATTTAAGGCAGCAGTAATTAAGTTCCCAGTTAAAGGGACTGTTATTGCAAGTGATCCTCCATCTGTCGAGTGACATATCAGGGTCCTAACGGCCTTGTCTGATCAATAATGAATGAGCTATCCATTGTTTTCTCTTTGAAAATTATTTTAATTTCTGTCTTGTGTCTTAACGTGACTTTATTTATGCTTTTGTAATGTAGGAGTATAATGTATCAATTAAACACTTTTAAAGCGAGAAAAGATTAAATACTTTGGTTTTATTTAAATTGAACATGGATGTATCGCTGCAGAAGGGCCTCTCATTCAAAACAACCAACAATGGTTAGAGAGGCCCTGGCTAAATTAAAATGTAAAAACTGTGAAATTTAAATTGTTTTTAGATAAATATTTAGTCAAATATATATCTATCTATCTATCTATCTTACCATTATTGATCAAATAAAGGTTTTAAGGTTACCGTTGGGAAATAACAAGGGCAGTCCCTTTTAAGAATAAAAGATGTATATTCTAGTGGACCGAGGAGGAGGTGGCAATGATGCACCGAGCCGTCCGCTCCTTCGCTGAGAACCTCAACACCATCTCCGAGACTATCAAGCAGCGAACAGTTCATCAGATTAGAGCAGCGCTGCAGAAGAAAGCATTTGACGAGGCGGGGATAGCAGTTCATAGCGTTAACTCTCAACAGCAGAGCAACAAACTTATGCAAAGTAAGCTTTCATAGACAATTACAGAAGGTCACAGTGGAATACTTTTTCAACTTTTTCACTGATTCTTTAAACTTGATATTTTTTGACTAACTGTAGGCTTCTGAATTTCAACAAACTCTAAATAAGTTGTTTTTAAAAAGTTGCGATTTGGTGATTTTTTAAGTCGTCAAAGAGTTAAATATATGATTTCAATAGTTATTCTTTTAGTTAATGAGCTTTTCAAATAGTAACAAGAAAATGCTATTTAAATGAGCATTGAGCATTGAGCATGGTTATGAATAAAATTATTATTTTAATGCGTTTTTTTATATTTAAATTTTTTAGCACAAATCAAAGAAAGTTTCATTAAGAATCTGAATATTTTGCGTGAATTTTTCATGGTTATTGTTTCAGATTCCTCGGCCTCCAGTTCTGCGGAGGTCACTTTGAACGCTCTCAACGCTGGGGAAAATGAGGTGGATGTAGAATCTCTTTCAGATTTTGGAAACGGAGAGGTCAGATAAGATCTAGTGAGAAACCTCCATTTAGTGTTCTGGTCTGATTTGGCCTTTGTAATAAACATTAGTTCCCTGCTACTGTGACCTGGATAAAGTACAAAATCGGCTCAAACTTCATGATTCCATGAAGATGTAAATGTATAGTTAGCAGACTCTCTGCACTAGCATTAAACTTTGTAATCCGCGAAACCAGTTTTAAAACTCGTCACTAAGATGGCATTGTGTCAACACCTCGAGATTTAGTATTTCAGATAAAAGATGACGAAGGAGAAGAAAGGATCTGCTCCTACCCCCACCAAGGGTAAAGGAGGAGGGAAGGGTTCAGGAAAGGATATTGATCTCAAGGATTGTCCTCTGGAGTTTAAACAGTTCTCAGTTGAAAATCCTAAGTACGTTGAAAAATATCAAGTAGTTTTCATAATAAACTTCAGGTCACACCAGAATACTTTTCCAACTTTTTGCATTGATCCTATTACCTATCCTAATTTTTTTTTGCAAACAGCAAAATATAGAAAAGCTGTTTTTTAAAAGCAAGTAGCTATGTTGGGTTGGAGAAAACCAGACTAACCCGCTTTTAATTATTTAGTCATGGAAAAATTTGTATTTTCCGAATGACTAATTCTGAATTTGCAACTATGTCACGTTAAAGTCCAAGACGAAAAGTTTAATAAAAAAGGACAGTTAGATAGGACCTAGTCCAACGGTTGTTTAACAAAAAAATGTAACAACTTTTAACAACTCAGGAGATTCAATAGTTAATTTTTTTTAGATGTGATTTAATCATAATAGTTTTTCCTCCATAGATACCTGAGTATTCTGAAGGAGGGGGAGAACATAGGTTTAGAAGATTTGGACAGTTTGCAGTTCGAACTAGAGGCTCTGCTTAGTAAAGCTGTGGTAAGAACTAAGAAGATTAGATTTTAGAATTTTCAATAAGTTCAAAGTGGACTAGTGACTCTCCATTTTAAGAGTGTCTTGTCCAATTCGCAAAGGTACCCTTTAAAGTTGTCTGATCAAGAACGCATTAGGAATAAATCTCCATCCCTTTGAAAATTTATTATTTATTTGCTACCAAAACAAAGAGAAATTTTTATGAACTATACATTTTAATCTAGAAAAATTACTATATTTAACATTATTGATTATATAAAGATTAAAAGGGTACTGTTGGTAATCGGGCACGACCTTCTTAAATGGAAGGTCAGTTGAATTACAATGATAGGTCCTTTCAGTTCGGCTGTCAATTACACAAGACTCAGACTCTTAGTACACTTACAATAGAAATATAAGCTCATGTTTTTAATCATATTTTTAATCGAAAGATATATTCTTACAATTCAATTTGTTCATTGTTGAAATCATCAAACAAACATAAAAAATTATGAAGATTTTAATGTTGTCTTGAATTTTCTTAATTTCAGTTAGTCCTGGAAAACGTAATCTTAAATAAATTATTATATTATAAATAAATAAATTACTTTGTTAAACAAATTGGATGCATTATATTAAACTAGTTTAAAACCCAGCTTTGTCTGGATTTTTTCCTATAAAGTCGACCCACTTAACTTGGAATGTTAAAGCCAAGCTACAGAGTTCCCCAATAGGATTATGATTGGACATACAAACAAACAAACAAACCTATTATTATTCTTGTTATTATTATTATTAACAATTAACCTACTTACTAAGTACAGCGACCTGTAGGTTGAAATGCAATGAAAACAGGACTGAATTCCTCCACTTGCCCTGGTCTATATGGGATCTGGTGGTTCCGTTCTGGCCTGAATTATTTTAGGATTCAGTGTGTATGCCAGAAAAGCATTACTAAGGGGATACATAAAGGGGATCCTTCAAAGCACTTACGAAAAGCGGTACACACCTCCGCAAGTTTTGTTAATTTTTAAATGAGGTTATAAAACCTGACCAGTATACCATTGGACCATTTAACACTGTTATTTATGTAAAAATAAACATTTTCACAGTTAATATGGCGTGGAATGCATGTTACTAGTGCGGCTCATGGACAGCTGTAATACATGTACCTGTCATTTTACCCAGCTTTCTACCTCTTACCATCAGGGTTTGTCCTGTAGAACCATCTCCGCCAAGATAAGCTCTTAAAACCCGCACATTCGGTAATGGGCCTTTGGCTTTAAATTCAGGCATAAAATTGAAAATGTAAAAATCTCTTCTGAGCTTGGTTACTACTGGGCACTGAAAGATAATATGTGACTCTGACAAATTAATTGTTGAAGCTGGTACGAGCAGAATAAATCTTCTACAATGTATTGTATTCTTTTAAGTTCCATTATTGCACTGTTTTTAATTGATAAAGCTTCAACACTACACAGAATGACTATAAGCGCTTTATCTAGCCCCCCCCCCCCCTGTTCAGATTCATTATTAAGTTGACATAGCTCCTAGCTCTTCTTATCATTATGTCTTCATACTAGCCGATCATAGTTCGTCCTCTTATCTTGATATTAACTCCTAAATAATTAGCTCTTAATGCTTCCTAAATTATTTCATCATTGATGAGCCAGCTTACATCATATGTTGCATTTGAAACGACGGAAGTCTTACTTTTTGCTAAACTTATTTTATTATCTTTGAAAAAAATGTCTACTAGTTTAATGATTTATCATCAGCAAAATACAGGGTTGTAATTAATTCTGCGTCTGTCTTTACCCCTACTTTGGAATTCTGTAATTTTACACCTTGAGTGAAATAGAGTGGTTCCGATAATACATAGTCAAGGCTTATACGAACTGAATACATACTTATACGAGAAACTACCCTTTCACCAAATCCTATGTAACGTAATTTAGTATCAGAGGCGTATTCAGGGGGGGGGCTATGGGGGATCAGCCCCCCTGGACCGGGGAAATCTATGGATTTCAGTGTACAGTGAACCTCTTAATATAGAATTATTTAAAGTGTACAGTGAACCTCTAAATATAGAATTATTTAAAATGTTCACTGATCCCTCTTAATATAGAATTATTTAAAATGTTCACTGATCCCTCTTAATGTAGAATCATTTTAAGTGTTTACTGATCCTCTTAATATAGAATCATTTAAAGTGTTCACTGATCCTCTTAATATAGATTCTCTTAATATAGATCCTCTTAATATAGAATCATTTAAAGTGTTTACTGATCCTCTTAATGTAGACCCTCTTAATAAAGAAGTATTTAAAGTGTACACGGATCCATTTAATATAGAATAATTTAATGTGTTCACTAACGACAAAGCAGACTGCTTTGCACTTGTTTACTTGTGATGGAATTCCAAGGACTCCAGGTAGGAGTATGATAGGAATATTAGTCCATGTCCTCCAGAGTAGTGTTCTGATCTGCCTGGTTCTCGTCTGCATTTGGGTATCTCGGCACATTACTCAAATACACAAGTATAGGGGTCAGATTATTTAAACATTTTGTCAAGTTTGGATTTGAAAATGTTTAAGGTTCTGGAGTCCTTGACGTCTGTTGGGAGTCCATTCCATCTGGAGACAATTCTATTTGTGAAAAAGTTAAGTCTGATGTCAGACTTTGACCTGGTTGCTACAAGGTTTCCATGGTAGCTGGTGTTCCTGGTTAATCTTTGAGGTTCCTGACCAAGAAGAACTGTCAACATCGTCGATACCTTTCAGGATCTTAAAGACCTGGATGAGGTCAGCTCTGGACCTTCTATCGACTAGGGAAAGTATCTCTAGTTCTTTAAGCTTGTCCTCATAAGTCACACCCTTTAAACTTGTGATGAAGTTCACGGCACGTCTTTGAACCTTCTCTAGCTGATCTCAATGTCTCCGATATGCCAGGGGGTTACCAGACTGGGGATGCAAATTCCAGATGACACCGTACAAATTGAACACAAAGTTTCAGGAATGTAAATCGGTCCCTGTATTGAAAAGCTCTAGTTATTTGTCCTAAAACTACCAACGCTTTCAGCACACTGCTCTCAACCAGCACACCAATATCACGTTCTTGGTTAACTGATATATTTATTCTTTTTACCAAGGTGCATAACTTAACACTTTTTGACATACTTATGCAAACACTTCGGTGGCGATAAGTGTCGGCCCCCATTTCATTGACAATGATGGGTTGTCTGCTAATAATAATACTAATATGTGTAATAAGAAAGTTTAATAGGAATGCGACTTTTAAGTGTATTTTTAATTTAGGTTAGAAAAAGGTATCTGAGGGATGAAAGTGAAATATTGCAGAACATCGAGAAGCACAAAGGAAAGATGAAAAAGGTGAAATAAATTACATTAATTAAAAATCAAAATTGTTCCTGTTGTTTTTTACAATGGTTAATCATTTTTTTACAATATCTTTTTTTTTAGAATTTTGTTTTTCGTCTTTATTTAAATAACAAACATGGAAGAATGAATGAATAAAAAAATATTATAAATAAAATATACATCAGTAAGTTTAAAATATCATAATGAAAAAATATTAACATTCGTGTCCTTACTGCTTCAGGAGTTTGAGGTAATTTACATTTTGATTTACCGATTTAATTTCAATAGGTTTATTTTGATGATGGTATCAAAGATTCTTAGTTACACTACTTTGAAACGTAGTTTGTTTTGTTGCTGATGAGCAAAGTTAAATCAAGAAGTATAGATCCCTCACTGACTGAAGTTTATACGCACCGCAACGTTTATGTAAAATAGCACAGTGGGCTTAAAGAATTAAATTATTTTTATTTCCATAATTACTTACCCTAAGTTATAGCCAAGCTCCCTCCCCGGAACCTCTTGACACACTGTGGAAATATACAACAACCCCAATTTCTACTGGTTGATTGATTAACTCAAAATATACAGCTATATGCAACTGTATGACTAGTTAATCCCTTTCAAGTCCCTCAGGCAGGGCAGTCCGCGTCAGTGATGATTCTATACTATCTGATCTGTAGATAGAGTAGGATTAAATGAAATAGAGAAGGATATAAAATTATAGGAAAGAATACAATAGAAAATGATAGAGTAGGATAGAGAAGGGTATAAAAAGATATATATAGGAAGGGAATAGGAAAGGAATAGGAAAGGAATAGGAAAAGAATAGGAAAGGGTAAAATAGATTAGAGTAAAATTGATAAGGGTAAAATTGATTAGAGTAAAATTGATTAAGTTAAATAGATTAGGATAGAATAGATTAGGATAGAATAAGCTGGGATAGGATAGAATAGCGAAAAATAGAATAGGATAGGAAAGAATTGAATAGGGTAGGAACGGATAGGATTGGTTTGATTTGACAAGAGAAATAAAATAGCATAATTCTTTAGCGAATCTCCGAATTGCTACAGTACATATATGTCAGCAATAAATAAATAGTTGCACATTCTGTGCCTGTAACATTTCAACTGTTTTATGTATTTTTATCAATAAAAATCTTATTTTATCTTAGAATCCCGGGTCCCCTGGGAAACGAGGATCAGGACGGGACGGAAACTCTGCCAAGAAGTTAAAGCTAAGCTCTGGTAAAGTTGGTGAACTTAGACCTGGTAAATCTAAACCTGAGGTTGAGCCCCACGACCCCCTGGAGAATGAACAGATTAAACCTCCTGCTCCTGAACCAAAGAAACAGTTTATTCCTAAAAATGAAACTCCCAATAGGTAAAGAAGAATTTGATTTTTGTTAAATACTCTAAAATATACACCCCTTGCAATCTGCATGTTGATGTCATTAAGATTTACTTATTTTTTGCGTAGTTTATTCTAATGAAGCCTGAAGAACTATACAAAGATATGGTGGTTTTTATTATTCTCTACAGTCGACAGTTGAGATTCGTGTAAATAGGGCAAAGAGGTTTTTTTTAGCTTTTTTAGCAGGTTTTAGTTAATATTATACTCGGATCCAGATCCGTGGATCTGAATATTTTTGCTGATTCTGGTCTAGATCCTTAATCCGGATTATAAGAACTGCTTTTAACTTAAAGGGATCCGTTGTAAATCGGACATATCTTCAAGCCAAGGGTTACTTAACTCTACGTTTATAATCCCTTAGTTCTATTCCTAATCTTTTAATTTTTGTTAGATTCTGGAATTTTGTTGAACCATACTGTGCTCCTATACAACATGATGATGTCAGATTTTTAGAAGATTTAATCAAGGTAAACTCTTGGTAAAGTTAGTCAGACGTATTCCAGGGTTTCCAGGATAACCAAGTCTTTCTTCAATTTTTATGCGTCAAGTTTTTTTTAAAACAACCAAGATTTCATTTGATTGAGAACCTCAATGTATAGGCAGTCTAAAGTTGGCAGGTTCACCAAACTCTAATTAAAAAATTGAAATTTATAATTGGTCACGTATTTGATGAGTTTAATTCAGGGTTATGGTGATATGAATGAATACTTCAAAATTCCACCTCTTGGACAGCACTATGCCATCAGGTTAAAAATTAATCATCTTAAAGGAATATTTTAGGAATTTATTTTTTGGGATTATTTAAATCAAAACTTGTCTTGCCACTAGATGTAAAACTTTTTAATTTTCATCCCCCCAAATCATGAAAATTGCTTTGAATTTGTACACATAACAAAAACAGTTGGTTATTTTCCTTGGTTTACTGCATCAATGATCACTAAAATTGTAGATGGGCTAAAGAAGATCTAGAGAATGAAAAAGAGAAGGGAAATGAAACTGGAGAAAAGATAAAGTCAGAAGATTCAAAAGATTTTCTTGCAGCGGTAAGCTTAAGAAATTTATTTGTAATATTGTAATTCATTTTTGTTTTCTAAGCTTTATACCCATTACCAAATATATTTTCATTTTTAGGCCTTTTTACCGATTGTCTCCAAAATAAGAATAAAACCTTTTATGACAATGAAAAGATATTTTAATAGAAAAATCAGAGTTACAGCTCTAAAATTCTTAGTATTGCATAGCATTAAATTGCGATCTGTTGTATCTTTTATTTTTAATTTATTTACTGTTAGGCAACACGGAAGGAAGTTAAAAGTGATTCAACTCCATTTGGTGAGCTGACTCAACGATTAGTTCAGGTAAGGGAACAAAAATAAACATTCGAAAAAGATAAAAATGAGACAAAATTTAAATTGCTAAAAAGAAAGAAAACAGCCTTTAAAATCTTATGGAATAAAGTTTGTTTGTCTTATTATTAAAAACTAGCTGAAGGGCCCGGCGTTGCCCGTGGAAAAATAGTTCAGAAAAAAAATAGTTTAGAAAAAAATATTGAAAAAAAAATAATATTCTTAGAGAGGATCCTTTAAGGCATTTTAACATAAACATAAACAATAAACATACCGCACAACCACATATTGTTATTGTTATTTAGCTTTACATATGTTTTCCTTCTTTAATTAACCAGCAAAATCTGGTAGGCCTTCGACCTTAAAAATAGACTTTGAATAGGCTAGGTGTAGGTGGCTTTGGACTTGTTTTAAACCGGGTAATAATGGAATATAAATATCTAGTCAGTAATATTAATCTCATATTGCAGAACCTATTAGATTAATTTTAACCATTCTTTTACATTACACCTACTTTAATTTTTAAGTTTTATGTATAAGGATTAAGTATTGCTTCGACTCAGAATTTCTTCTGGAATTATTTGAAGCTTTAGTCTTCCTCTCTTCGTACATCCTTGAAATCATCTCTGAATTGTTCAGCAGATTAATCCCTCTAAAATCCAAGAATGAAACCATCTCTGTTTATAACTAATCTATGTAATAAAGCTCTTTTTAAAATTCCACGGGCAACGACGCCGGGCACTGGTATGTATATGTATATTCAATGGTTCAGGTTCTAATGGAGGAGAACAGTAACTCTGGGGAGGACGGGACGGATAGGATCTCCGGGGGAGGAGGAGAGCAGACAGGTTCAAGGAACTCATTTATCCAGTCCCTCAGGGTAGCAGGAGAGGAATCACTAGAGAAAAATATTCAAAAGGTTCTACAACTTTTATTGGCTAGGACTTGATTTCCACGGAATGATGAATATTTGGTTATCATATACCAATTGGAAACATTATCAGTGGTTTAAGTTTATTATTTTTCATTGAATTTTGATTTATTGCTTCATTTTATAATGTTTTGTTGATATGAACCATCATTCATCTTGGTCTTGATCGTACTTCTTATTGATTTTAAGCTATTTGGTGAATCCTTGTGGTTAACCAAAGCCAGTTAAACTTTTCTCTTTCTTGATCTTGATTAAAGTAAATACATCTTAAATTGCGTCTGCATGGATTTTTTGCCAGGCTTTATTTTAGAGAATCACCTCTCCCTTGGGAATTGAGTAACAAGAGGATAAAATGGACATTAACTGGCATATTTTCCCTCGAACTGAAATACTACTCCTAATTCTGAGATTAAAAGAATTAGAAGATGTGTTTCCGTACGTTACTCTGTAGTGTTAACTGGTTACTGCTGGAAGAATATATCCATTTTTTAATTGGGTGTGATTTTTAACAAAATATATACCTATGTTTTTTCAGCCTGGTTGTTTTTTCATCCCTGCATGTGTGTTTTGATTTTGATTCGATTCGATTTGTTTTGATTCGATTCAATTGATTTGATTTAAATATATATAGGAGCTTGAGGAGTCCGGTATCTTGGACCCAGCTGACATGGAGGGGGAGGATAGTAAGTAATTTGATTAAAAACTAAAAACTTGGTATTTTTTTTTGTAAAGAGATTGAGTCTTTGCCACAAATTTAATTTTTTGAATCCCTATATCTTTGCAACCTGATGATGTAAAACTTTGATATTGCAAACTAACATTATTTGATCTAACAGAATTCATATCTAAGGTCTACGAAATTGGGTTGCAAGGATATTGAAATTAGAAAATCAGAGTTTGTGACCAAAAACTCAATTCCTTTTACAAAATTTTTTTGTCATTTGACATTGTAAAATGTACAATGTACAATGTACATAGTGTCACAATAAACACTGGATTTCTCATTTTAATCCTGTAATACCCGTATTTATTTTTACAAACTTTTCCTCTTCCTAGGCTGTCAGCTGTTAATTCAATCGTTGATTTTTAATTATTACCTTTATTCCAATCCCATTAACTTCTTTCTTCTCAAACTCTCTATAAAAATGTAATGCATTTATTTAACAAATGTTGCTACCACCTTTACATTATTACAGACTGCTATTATAAACTGTACAGAATGACCAGCGCGGCAAAGGTTGGAGAAATATTTACATCCGCAGGGGAAGCTTTTGAGAAGCTTGGTGAGCTTACCATGCAGCTTCAAGCAGCTCAACAGAACACAGGGGGAGCATCAGCAAAGGTAGCAGTATTTAAGGCAGCAGTAATTAAGTTCCCAGTTAAAGGGACTGTTATTGCAAGTGATCCTCCATCTGTCGAGTGACATATCAGGGTCCTAACGGCCTTGTCTGATCAATAATGAATGAGCTATCCATTGTTTTCTCTTTGAAAATTATTTTAATTTCTGTCTTGTGTCTTAACGTGACTTTATTTATGCTTTTGTAATGTAGGAGTATAATGTATCAATTAAACACTTTTAAAGCGAGAAAAGATTAAATACTTTGGTTTTATTTAAATTGAACATGGATGTATCGCTGCAGAAGGGCCTCTCATTCAAAACAACCAACAATGGTTAGAGAGGCCCTGGCTAAATTAAAATGTAAAAACTGTGAAATTTAAATTGTTTTTAGATAAATATTTAGTCAAATATATATCTATCTATCTATCTATCTTACCATTATTGATCAAATAAAGGTTTTAAGGTTACCGTTGGGAAATAACAAGGGCAGTCCCTTTTAAGAATAAAAGATGTATATTCTAGTGGACCGAGGAGGAGGTGGCAATGATGCACCGAGCCGTCCGCTCCTTCGCTGAGAACCTCAACACCATCTCCGAGACTATCAAGCAGCGAACAGTTCATCAGATTAGAGCAGCGCTGCAGAAGAAAGCATTTGACGAGGCGGGGATAGCAGTTCATAGCGTTAACTCTCAACAGCAGAGCAACAAACTTATGCAAAGTAAGCTTTCATAGACAATTACAGAAGGTCACAGTGGAATACTTTTTCAACTTTTTCACTGATTCTTTAAACTTGATATTTTTTGACTAACTGTAGGCTTCTGAATTTCAACAAACTCTAAATAAGTTGTTTTTAAAAAGTTGCGATTTGGTGATTTTTTAAGTCGTCAAAGAGTTAAATATATGATTTCAATAGTTATTCTTTTAGTTAATGAGCTTTTCAAATAGTAACAAGAAAATGCTATTTAAATGAGCATTGAGCATTGAGCATGGTTATGAATAAAATTATTATTTTAATGCGTTTTTTTATATTTAAATTTTTTAGCACAAATCAAAGAAAGTTTCATTAAGAATCTGAATATTTTGCGTGAATTTTTCATGGTTATTGTTTCAGATTCCTCGGCCTCCAGTTCTGCGGAGGTCACTTTGAACGCTCTCAACGCTGGGGAAAATGAGGTGGATGTAGAATCTCTTTCAGATTTTGGAAACGGAGAGGTCAGATAAGATCTAGTGAGAAACCTCCATTTAGTGTTCTGGTCTGATTTGGCCTTTGTAATAAACATTAGTTCCCTGCTACTGTGACCTGGATAAAGTACAAAATCGGCTCAAACTTCATGATTCCATGAAGATGTAAATGTATAGTTAGCAGACTCTCTGCACTAGCATTAAACTTTGTAATCCGCGAAACCAGTTTTAAAACTCGTCACTAAGATGGCATTGTGTCAACACCTCGAGATTTAGTATTTCAGATAAAAGATGACGAAGGAGAAGAAAGGATCTGCTCCTACCCCCACCAAGGGTAAAGGAGGAGGGAAGGGTTCAGGAAAGGATATTGATCTCAAGGATTGTCCTCTGGAGTTTAAACAGTTCTCAGTTGAAAATCCTAAGTACGTTGAAAAATATCAAGTAGTTTTCATAATAAACTTCAGGTCACACCAGAATACTTTTCCAACTTTTTGCATTGATCCTATTACCTATCCTAATTTTTTTTTGCAAACAGCAAAATATAGAAAAGCTGTTTTTTAAAAGCAAGTAGCTATGTTGGGTTGGAGAAAACCAGACTAACCCGCTTTTAATTATTTAGTCATGGAAAAATTTGTATTTTCCGAATGACTAATTCTGAATTTGCAACTATGTCACGTTAAAGTCCAAGACGAAAAGTTTAATAAAAAAGGACAGTTAGATAGGACCTAGTCCAACGGTTGTTTAACAAAAAAATGTAACAACTTTTAACAACTCAGGAGATTCAATAGTTAATTTTTTTTAGATGTGATTTAATCATAATAGTTTTTCCTCCATAGATACCTGAGTATTCTGAAGGAGGGGGAGAACATAGGTTTAGAAGATTTGGACAGTTTGCAGTTCGAACTAGAGGCTCTGCTTAGTAAAGCTGTGGTAAGAACTAAGAAGATTAGATTTTAGAATTTTCAATAAGTTCAAAGTGGACTAGTGACTCTCCATTTTAAGAGTGTCTTGTCCAATTCGCAAAGGTACCCTTTAAAGTTGTCTGATCAAGAACGCATTAGGAATAAATCTCCATCCCTTTGAAAATTTATTATTTATTTGCTACCAAAACAAAGAGAAATTTTTATGAACTATACATTTTAATCTAGAAAAATTACTATATTTAACATTATTGATTATATAAAGATTAAAAGGGTACTGTTGGTAATCGGGCACGACCTTCTTAAATGGAAGGTCAGTTGAATTACAATGATAGGTCCTTTCAGTTCGGCTGTCAATTACACAAGACTCAGACTCTTAGTACACTTACAATAGAAATATAAGCTCATGTTTTTAATCATATTTTTAATCGAAAGATATATTCTTACAATTCAATTTGTTCATTGTTGAAATCATCAAACAAACATAAAAAATTATGAAGATTTTAATGTTGTCTTGAATTTTCTTAATTTCAGTTAGTCCTGGAAAACGTAATCTTAAATAAATTATTATATTATAAATAAATAAATTACTTTGTTAAACAAATTGGATGCATTATATTAAACTAGTTTAAAACCCAGCTTTGTCTGGATTTTTTCCTATAAAGTCGACCCACTTAACTTGGAATGTTAAAGCCAAGCTACAGAGTTCCCCAATAGGATTATGATTGGACATACAAACAAACAAACAAACCTATTATTATTCTTGTTATTATTATTATTAACAATTAACCTACTTACTAAGTACAGCGACCTGTAGGTTGAAATGCAATGAAAACAGGACTGAATTCCTCCACTTGCCCTGGTCTATATGGGATCTGGTGGTTCCGTTCTGGCCTGAATTATTTTAGGATTCAGTGTGTATGCCAGAAAAGCATTACTAAGGGGATACATAAAGGGGATCCTTCAAAGCACTTACGAAAAGCGGTACACACCTCCGCAAGTTTTGTTAATTTTTAAATGAGGTTATAAAACCTGACCAGTATACCATTGGACCATTTAACACTGTTATTTATGTAAAAATAAACATTTTCACAGTTAATATGGCGTGGAATGCATGTTACTAGTGCGGCTCATGGACAGCTGTAATACATGTACCTGTCATTTTACCCAGCTTTCTACCTCTTACCATCAGGGTTTGTCCTGTAGAACCATCTCCGCCAAGATAAGCTCTTAAAACCCGCACATTCGGTAATGGGCCTTTGGCTTTAAATTCAGGCATAAAATTGAAAATGTAAAAATCTCTTCTGAGCTTGGTTACTACTGGGCACTGAAAGATAATATGTGACTCTGACAAATTAATTGTTGAAGCTGGTACGAGCAGAATAAATCTTCTACAATGTATTGTATTCTTTTAAGTTCCATTATTGCACTGTTTTTAATTGATAAAGCTTCAACACTACACAGAATGACTATA